TTCGAGTGTACAGTTTGATGGCTTTTAGTGTATTTAGAGCTGTGTGACCATCACCACGGTCAACCTTAGAGCCTTTTCATCACCCCAAAATGAATCCCCACCCCACCCTTGGCCATCACCCCTCAGCTCAGCCCGCCCCCACCCCACGTTCCCGAGCCCAAAGCAACCACAAACCGACTCTGTCCGTCTCTGGCTTTGCCTATTCTGGGCATTTCCTATACACGGACGCTTCCAATACGCGGCCCTCGGGGTCTGGCCTCTTTCACTTAGGCCGGTGTTTTCCGGCTCCACCGTGAGCAGAACATGTCGGCCCCTCGCTCCTGCTTATGCCCGAGGGTTTCCCCACCGTGTGGCTGCGTCACACCGTGTTTGTCCGTCCGTCCCTCGGGCACACTGGCGGCGTGGGCACCTTTTGCCCACGAGGAACAGTGCTGCTGGGATGGGCGCACACGCGCTTCGCTCGGGCCGAAGGTTCTGCACGGCCTCTCCTTTTACACCTACGGGTAGCGTATCCCTCAGGAAGGAAAAAGCCTGCGGCCTCTGCTCCCGGCGCGCAGGCGGCTGGAGAGATGGAGTTCGGACTTGGGGGGAGAGGCCTGGGTGGGGCGGAGGGGCAACGGCTGGCCGCTGACCATGCAGAGGGGAGGCGGAAGGGGGGCAGTCTGGCCGCCCTTGGTCAGCGGGCTGTTGCCGGGAGGGTGTGATGAGAGGGAAGGTGACTCAGGGAGCAAAATCGAGGTTCCTATGCTAGCTCCCTGTCGTAGTGAGGACAGATTAGGAGGAAAGAAGCCCCGTGTCCCCTCCCAGCTGCCCTGGCGCAGGACAGGAGCTGGGGAAGCACGGCGCCCTCTCCTTCTCTCCAACCGTCACTGGCAAATAGAGGAGGCTGAGTGCCCCGCTGCTTTCTGTGACACTCCCTCCCTCGGGGTTCCTGTCCCATCTCTATCTGATGGCTTTCCCTGCCACCTCTACACCACTGATCACGCTTGCCTTCCCGTCCCCAGATGCGCGACCCAGCTGCTCACTGTGCAGTCTGTAGGCAACTCGCACTCCCAAGCCGGGCCCCTCCTCTCCCCCCGCCCCGACCTGCTCCTTGCACCCGTCTCAGCACCCCAGTTCAGTAAAGGGCAATTCCCACCAGGCCAAGCACCTCGGAGTCACCCCATCTTCTTTCTTCCCCTCATAACATACTCTTGTTCCGCCTGCCCACGACCTGAGTCTCAGCACTTCCCAGCCCCTGCAGGCTCCCAGCCCGGGTCCCTCGGTTCTCCAAGATTGTTGGTGTCTTTATTTTGTGCACTGCTTTTTGTCTGTCTCCCCCTGCTGGAGCCAGAGCCCAGCGCGGGCAGGGATCTGGTCTGTTTTGTCACTCAGTGTCTGCACAGTGGATGGCACACAGCAGGCGCTGGAGAACGAGGTGCTGAATGAATGAGGAGCTCCCCCCCGCCGCCCGCAGTGTATTCTTCACACAGCAACCAGAGGGATCCCGTACAAATATGCGAGGTCATCCCATCCCTCCTCCCCTCAGAACTGGCCCCTGGGTCCCATCTCATGCAGAGCTAAAGCAAAGTCCTCTGGCTGGCCCCCAGCACCCTGCACAATCACCCCCTTCCCTTTTAGACATTAACTCCTGCCCTCTTCCCCTTGTTCACTTGGCTCCAGTTGCCTGCCTCCTCTCTGTTCCCTGAACATGCCAGGCTTGGTCCTACCTCAGGACCTTTGCACAAGCCATTCCCACTGCCCGACTCTTTCCTGGATGTCCCCATGGCTTCCTCCCTCCCTCCTTTAGATTTTTACTCAAATGTCACCTTCTCAGTGAGGCCTGTTTTTAAGACTTTCATTTATTTACTAAATTTTTTTTTAAGATTTATTTATTTTGAGAGACAGCATGTGAGCAGAGGAGTAGCAGAAAGAGAGAGGGAAACAGAGAGAATCCCAAGCAGGCCCCGGTGCTGCCAGCACAGAGTGCAATGTGGGACTGGGACTCATGAAACTGAATGAGATCAAGACCTGAACCAGTATCAAGAGTCGGACACTTAACTGAGTCACTCTGGCGCCCCTGACCCGTTTTTGGGGAGCTCACATTGTGAAGCAGTGCTGGGTTGGGTGCACCTGGGCAATAAGGGAAGTAGTACCAGGTGCCCTGGGTGCCCCGAGGGGCCGCCGACTGTCCTGGAAGAGCTGACCTAGGACTGAGTCTCTGCGGACAGAGGACTTAGGTGGCTGAGAAAAGGAGGGGGGTGGTGCCACCCAGCAAACACATCCCAAAGCCAGGCCCTGTGCTGGACAAGGCTGAGGACGCGGAAAAGCGGGGGAGTCAGACACAGGCCCAGATGGTCGCTGGCCTGTGATAAGGGTAGTGAGAGTCAGGGAGCCCAGAGGAGGGACGAGACCAAAGCATGAAAAGCATGTAGTTTTCCGGAAGCGGGGGGGTGGGGGGGGAGGGCAGAGTGAAAAGTTACTTTTGCAATTATTTAATCTTTCCCTCTCTAGATGTGTGGGAGCCAGGGCACAGGGGTGAGCAAGCAGAAGAACCCATCTCCGGCCTGTCTCCTCTGCTGGGCAGAGAGCAGTTCACCCCTGTACCTCGCCAGATACCCCTGCAGGCCGGCAGGCTGCGGTGCTGACTCACAGTGGGGCTCTGGGACACGCCTGCCTGTCTTTGAACCCTCCAAGCTAGCTGTGCCGCCTCGGGCAGGTAGCTTCACCTTTCTGGGCCTTGGCTCTAGTCACTGTGTGAGTGGGTGACAGCACCTGCCTCGGGAGATATCGTGAAGATTCTGTGAGCTTCTTCCTTCGTCCTGTGTCCTAGGCACTCACTCTTCAGGGAGCAGCAGGCACAGCAGGAGACAAGACAGAATCCCCTTCCCCATAGTCTTCATTGGGCATTGCGGGACGGACAGGGGACAAGATGAATGGGGGCGCCTGGGTGGCTCAGCCGGTTGAGCTTCCGACTTCGGCTCAGGTCATGATCTTGCGGTTTGTGGGTTTAAGCCCCGCGTCGGGCTCTGTGCTGACGCTCAGAGCCTGGAGCCTGCTTCGGATTCTGTGTCTCCCTCTCTCTCTGCCCCTCCCCTGCTTGCTCTCTGTCTCTCTCTAAAATAAACAAACATTAAAAAAATTTTTTTTAAACAGGCCTCACTGGGGGCCCCCAGCTGGCTCAGTAGGTGGAGCATGTGACTCTTGACCTGAGGGTTGTGAGTTTAAGCCCCCACACTGGGTGTTGAGATTACTTAAAACTAAAAATCTTAAAACTTAAAAAAAAAAAAAAAGCCTCAGATCATGATTTCATGGTTGGTGAGTTTAAGTCCTGCGTCAGGCTCTGCACTGACAGCACGGAGCCTGCTTGGGATTCTCTTTCCCTTTCTCAAAATAAATAAATAAACTTAAAAAAAAAAAATTCAGGGGTCAGGGTCTCACTCCAGTTAGGGTCCCAGCGTCACTCACACGGTGTCCGGAACGCAGGCCACTTCAAGGTGTGGCACTTTAGACTCCTGAGTGTCACCCACCCCACAAGTATTCCCAAGCCCCTGAAGCTTCCTTCTCTCGCTTCCCAAAGACTAGTGCTGCCCTGTTTTGGCTCAGAGCACTCTGGATTCAGATCTCCTGGCCTCCCCCCAACCAAACTGAATTATCATTGGCTCCCCAGTGCCAGCAAAGTCCCTGCCATGAGAGCAGGTGAATGAAAGAGGGACTGAAGACGGAGGGAAAAGCAGCACAGGAGAAGGGAGCAGCGCAGAAAGGAGCAGCGCAGGAGAAGGGAGCAGCATCGCAAAGGTCTCTGGTAGGAAAGGAGCATCTCTAAGCGACAAGAGGCCTGCGTGTGAGACACAGCCAAGGGCGGGGGAGGGCAGGTAACCACAGGCTCCTGGCATGGGTGGGGTTATGAAGCAGAGAAGATGACATCACCCTGCCCCTCTCTAAACCCTGCCCACTCACCGCCACTTGAGCGGTGCCCCAAATCTGCCCTGCCTCCACCTTCTCCATCAGCCAAACCACACACCCCAGCCACCTGAGCTCTTCCTTACACCCCCGCGTCCTGCTGGCTCCAACCCCAAAGACAACCTGAGGCTGACAGATAGCACTGGGGTCTGAGCCACTGTCCCCTGGTCTCCCAGCTGGCCTTCCTCCTTGCTTTCCTGTTCCCACTACAATCCCATCTTCAATCAGCACCCAGGGACTTTTCCCTAAACGCAGGGTGGGCCAGGTCGCTCTGCTGCTCAAAACCTCCCCTGGCTCCCTGTGGGACCTGGAATGAGAGCCAAAGCCCACGGCAACGTTGGCAAGGATCGGGTTCTCCATCATGCCTCCAACCTGGCCTGTTTCCTTGGCTCCAGCTACAAACAGGCCAAACTCCTTCCCACCTCAGGGCCTTTGCGCCTGATGGTCCCGCTGTCCAAACCTTTCTTTACATGGCTGACTTCTCTGTCAAATGTCACTTCTCCAGAGAGAGGATTTTTGATCACTGCAGCTAAAGAATTTAGCTTTATTTCACTTCGGATAAGATACCAAGCCCCGAAAGCATTGCTTTACCGTTATTACTTATCACTTGTCTACTGTTTGTCTTCTCCTGAGCCAACGACTTTCTCTGACTTGTTCGGGCTGTAGCCTCTGCTTCTAGAATGGTGCCTGGCATAGAATACTCAATATTTAGTGAATAAGGGGTAGCACATGCCACCACGTGCACCAATTCAGTCTTCCACTGCGTCCGGGATCCTGCCGCCCCAAAGATCCTCCAGGGCACATCCCCCGGCTCACCCAGGGGCCAGATGCCCAGCACAAGAGCCCCCCGCATCCCGAGGGGCCCCCCCAACCCCAGTCATCTTCCTGCGCGCCCCCACGCACGCGCCCAGAACCACTGGCCCTTCCCCCTCTACCGCGCGCCCTCCCCCCGCCACGGCCCGCTTCGCAACCCTTCTCTCAGGCCTACATGCCCGGCTCCTCCACCCTCCTTCCCTGCCAAGTCGAATCCCTGCAATCCCCCTTCTGCCCCTACTCACCCGCTTCAAACAGCGTTTCCCGCCACAGCCTACGCCGCCGTGACCCCTGACTCCGGCGCGCGCAGGCTCAGATCCACCGCGCGCCGCGCCGGGCCACGCCCCCACCGCCCAAGTAGGGCGAGAACACGCCCCGACACGCCTTTGAGCCACGCCCCTCCCCTCGACTGGAACTAGGCCACGCCCCGTCCTCCCAACTTAGGATGTCGCCTCTTCCCATTTTGCATAAATTCTCGCCAAACCCCGCCCCGCCTTGAGAGGTGCGACTCCCCCCAAGCCACGCCCCCTCCGGCCGTAGCTCCGCGGCTCCTGCTCTCCGTGCGCGCGGCCGTGCGACCTGCCCCGGTCCCCCCGGCCCCGCCTCCCCGCCCGCGAGAGCCTCGCGCGCATCCTCGGCTCGCACGCCTGCTTTCAGCGGGAGGCCAAGTCGAGAGGACACCTTGCGCACTGTCCTTTCCGCTGGCGGAAGGGCTGACGTCTGCCCTCCCCGCGTAGGGGAGGTCCGCTCAGTTCTGTCTCACGACCTCGGGTTCCCCACCTGTAGACTAGACTTTCCGCAGGACGGGCACACCCGGGGGCGCCAGGCACACTGCTTGGAACTAGCCATTTCCCCGTCACCTTCCCCCGAACCCCTCGAAAAAGCACACCTTTCAGTACCCAGCCCGCCCCCCAAGCAACACTCCCTTCACTCTTGGCCAGGACTGTCCATCCAGCTCACCTCCGTGAGCCCTCGGGAGCCTGGCACAGGGGAAGGAGGGACTGAGGTGTCCACAGCCCGTCCTTCCTCTGAAATCACCAGAGCCTCTCACCTTCCAGACTTGGCATGTGCCCTCCCCTCAATTTGGGGACCCAGCCCCCTTGTGTGGTTTAGGTGCCCCCTGGGACATGATCTCCCTGTGAAGACTTGCCGCCTCCTACGTCTGGGCTGCCACACTGCAGCTCACTGCCCCGTTAAAGCCCCTATTCCCTTCCGTTCTAGCTGCCCCCCCCCTCCCCGCCGCCAGCCCTGACTGGTGGCCACCGCCCAGGAAGGGCTTTATCTTGTTCTCCGGTGTTTCCAGTGCCTGAAATTCTGTTTGCCACACAGTGAGTGCCCTGTACACACTTGTTACACGAACATCTGCATCCTGGGCCAGCACGGTGCCCAGGGGCTTCAGGAAACATTTGTGGCCTGAGAGCCTGACCCTTCATCCACTTAAATTCTCTGTCCTTCGGCAGCCTCCAACTCACCTGGTCCAGGGAGATGACGCCAGGGCTGTCAGCCTCTCCTGGACACCCCACCCCCACCCCATCACCCGGTCACGTGGCCCTGAACCCTCCGCCAGCGTAGCAACACAAGGTTCAGGGAGCTGGTGTCCACGAAGTCGCTGACATCCCATCCCCCGCACACCTTGGACTCACGCTGGCTCAGGGCAGGTTTCTAGTCGTTTATTTTCCTGTTTTTGTCTTTTTTTAGTTTTTATTAAATAAAAGGAACAGAGGGAGGGGGGCCTGCGGTTTCTCAGGCTGGAAGGGAGAGCCACAGGCCCCCCACTCCCTCTGCTCAAGGTGCACTGCGCAGTGAGCTTGTGGTGTAAGCTGGGTGGGGAGGGCAGCCGGTAGTGCTAGGAGGGTCGGGGTCGGGACCTAGGACCCACCCAGCCCTCCCAGGAAGACTCAGTGGGCAGGGAGGGAGCCCCCTGGACCCTGGCGGGGGCTCGCCCGAGGGACTGGTGGGCCAGGGCTTGTGCTATAAGCCGCAAGGTGGGACCCCAGGCCCACTCCTGGCCTCTCCAGGAGGAAGGGGCAACAACGTCCATGCGTTGGAGGGGGCAGGGCTGTGGGGCAGGGCGGCCAGGCCCCTCACTCGTGGACGTCCCAGATCTCAGACAGCAGAGGCGGCAGCTTCTTGTCCTGGAGCCTCAGGGCAAAGACCTGCTCTGAGTGCACAGAACTCAGTGTGCGCAGGCTCACAAGTTTCATTAGCATCCGGGGGAAGCGCAGCTGGTCCTGCAGGGGGGTGGCGGCGGGGGGAACAGGAGGGAGGCAGGCTCTGGTCAGCATCCCCACCACCACCAGTGTAGGCTGGCCAGGGCAGAGGCCTGAGGCCTGAGGCCAGACTTTGCCAAGAGGGCACCAGCCGGGGCTCAGGGCGCTACCAGAGAAGCCGGGCAGCAGGTGTAGCAGCCAGGGCCCAGCTGTGACCCCACATGGGGCCTTCCTGTCCCCGCCAGGGCCCTGGGAGGGGCGGGGCCGCGTACCTGCGGCCTCTTGATGCGCGTGTACGAGAGCAGGGCCTCCACGTAGGGCTGCTGCAGGGCCTCCACGCGGCTCGGCTCCTGCACGTTGGGCCGGTCAGCGGAGAAGATGTTGATGGCAATGAGGAGGGCGTACTCGGCGTCGTCCAGGCCCAGCCGCCGCATGGCCCGGGAGAACTCGAAGATGGGGTTGATGAACTCCACCTGCAGGCCTGTGGGGCGGGAGGCCCGGCCGTAAGCTCCCCCCCGGCCCCGCTGTGGCCCCGGCCCCGGCCCCTGACGCCGCTCGCTGTCAGCGGGCTCAGGGACACGGCAGCAATTCTAGCGTTTTGGTCCCTTCTGTTCCCCCGTGGCCCCCACCCGGGTGCCTGGCATGTGGGAAGTGTGCCCTAACCCTTGCCTGAATAAAGGGATAAGTGATGAGCACGAACACTCATTCAGTATTTTCTGCTACCTCATTCCTACCTTCGCCTCCTTCCTGACCTCCCTGGTTCTCTCCTAAGGAACAGGAAACATTTTTATTGTTTTTTTTGTTTTGTTTTTTTGTTTGCATTTATTTATCTCTGAGAGAGACAGACAGCCTGAGTAGTGGAGGGTCAGAGAGAGAGGGAGACACAGAATCCAAAGCACAGAGCCCGATGTGGGGCTCGAACCCATGAACCATGAGATCATGACCTGAGCCAGAGTCGGGACGCTTAACCGACTGAGCCCCCTACGCGCCCTAAAGGAAACATTTTTTTTTTTTTTAAATGTTTTATTTATTTCTAGGAGAGAGAGAGACAGCGTGAGCAGGGGAGGGTCAGAGAGAGAGGGAGTCACAGACTGAAACAGGCTCCAGGCTCTGAGCTGGCAGTCAGCACAGAGCCCGATGCGGGGCTCGAACCCACGAACCGCGAGATCATGACCTAAGCGAAAGTCGGCCGCTTAACCAACTAAGCCACCCAGGCGCCCTTAAAGGAAACATTTTTAAACCTATGTCACATTGTGTCACCCCTGTGGTGGCTTCCATTGCTCAGAGTAAGGCCTGAACTCATCCCCAAGAGTGGCTCATTCATTCATTTATCAAACTTTACTGAGCACCTACTATGTGGCAGGTCCCGGGGTAGAGCTGTTTCTAAGACAAGGCCTCCCCTCCCGCGGGGCTTGCACTTGGGGGCTGAGGGAGCCGACAGGAGGCACACATGTAACTAAACCATCCAGTCTGTGAGCTGGATCAAGGCGACACAAGGAAGGGTAATGAGGGGCATCGAGAAGCAAATCAACATCGTGGACAGGTGGCCTGTGTACGGTGATGCTGTAGAAAGGCCGCACTACAGGGGGACCTTTGAGAATCCACCAGAAGGAGGGGAGGGGAGGAGTCCCGAGGATGTTTTGAGAGTTCCAGGCGGGCACCACCTGTCTGTCTTTCCCAGGATGGGGCAGCTTTCTGGGCCTCGAGATTTCCAAATGTGCAAACTGCAAAGGTCCCACGCAAATCAGGATGAGGCGGTCGCCCATGTTGGCCGAGCAACTGCAAACGCCTGAGGCAGGAGCCCGTCTGGTGGGTTCAAGTAAAAAGGAGGAGGCCAGTGTGGCTGGAGGAAGGTGAGCAAAGGGAGGTGGGGGCAGAGAGGCCCCTTTGAGCCTGTGAGAAATGGCCAGGACTCTGGCTTTTCTCCCACTGAGCCGGGAGCCACGCAGTGTAGTGAGCAGGGGAGGGACGTGAGCTGACTTGCTATGAATAGGACCCTTCTGACTGCTGTGAACCGAACACTCTGGAGAATCCAGTGAGGGGCCTCGACGATGTCCCAGGGAGAGGTACTGGAGGGGAGGATGGGGGGAAATGGTAGTACCCCAACCTTCTCACCAGCCTCCCTTTGTTCCAGATGCCTGGGCCTCCTTGTATTCCCTTAACATCATCCAGCTCTTCCCCGACCTCAGGACCTTTGTACATGCTGAGCCCTGCCAGAAACATTCTCCCTGCCCAGCGCTCTGCTGCCACACTCATACTCAAAGGGGGCTGGGTTAGGGGAAGGGAAGAAGATGGGGTTAGGAAAATGCAGAGGTGCCCCAGGAAGAGATGATGGGGAAGAGGTGGACTCACAAACAGAGGCAAGAGCCTGACGGAAAACAAGGCCTTCTTGGTACATGAGGTTCCCTGGTGGAAAAGGTGGGCAGTGCTACCCCTCCATTCCCTTTTCCTAGTCAATACATCGCACCCCTCAGGCCTCGGTTCAACTGCACTTCCTCCAGAAGCCCAATGCCTAGGTCACATCCCCAGGTAAGCGCTCTCGGATGGCAAGGACCTACCCTGTACAGTCGCTCAGGGTGCATACCTCACAACGGACTGAGACGCGACCTCTCTCCAGTGACACCACATTTGGGGAGGAGGGAGTGTCTTTTCTTAATTCCTATCAAGATGCCCCACGTGACAGCACAGACTGTCTCATCCTGCACAGCATCCCAGCGGACACACTCAACAATACATACACTTTTATCTCATTTCGAGGCTAGCTCACGCTGCCGCTTTGCAGATAAAGAGATAGAGGATCAGACAAGAACAGGATGGCCTGAGGTCTCCCACCAGGAGGGGCCCAGCGGGGGCGCCGCCCTGCACCCCCCCCGCCGCCCCCCGCCGTACCTGCGCGGTGGAAGTCATCCTTGCTGTAGGTGAAGTCTTTCAGGAAAGTGATGCACTCCGTCTCGTGGTTGTAGCGTCTGGCCGTCTCTAGCAGCATGATCTGCGCGCGGCAGGGGGAGGAGTAGGCAGGGGCGCCCACGCGTCCCTGTGACCCTGCAGCCCCTGGTCTCTCCTCTCTTGGCCCGTGGGGGCCCTACTCTTGCCAGAACCA